TTATTGTATCACGCAACCTAAAACTTTAAAACACCCTGTAACGCTAACAGAACTATAACTATAACTCATCAAAGGCAAATCAGTCAAGCAGCGTTGGAAATGTGCTAAAAATTGCTGTAATTAACACTACAGTAGCTATCCGTGGCATTTGCATTTTCTGTGGTTTTTGTTGCCACAACACGGATTCCAGATCAACGAATCTGACTTCGTTTAGTCTCAAAAGTTAATCAAAAACTACAAAAGCGTTAATTAAACAATAACAAATATGTTAACAAAGCAAAACAGCTTGAAAAATAGTCACAACATGGTAATTTACGGGTTGAAAACATTGTTTACCTCGAACAACCAGAGCTCCAGCAGCCATTACATCCTCCTCACACGGAGGGGGCCTAAGCACTAAAGCTAATTAGAATTGCAAATAATCTAATTATGAATGCGTCCCAGAATGCTGTTCAAACCAAACCCGGCAAATTCGAATAATTTTTGACCAATCAGAGACGGACGATTTGTTGTTCGTTGGAAGGTTCCGTTGATGCTTTCTTGTGTTGAATGCAGTTGAGAACGATCGATCACAGCTTTATTTTGCCGAAAGCAAAGCATTTTACAAGTCAAAAGCACATACAAGGTAAGTGAACGAGCATGCATAGCTATTTTCATGAAAAATTCTGGTATTGTATGCTCCAAACTTATTTTGATTGCATAAAACAGTGTGTGAACGTTCTGTGAAAGCTAAACATCTTTTTTCTACTAGAATTCTGTGAATTAGTAGTCAACTAAAGAAAAGTCCTTTCTAGTATTATGGATACTGCACAAACAGTAAGTGTTTTATTGATTATATAAATTTGAAATATTGAACAATTTGCTGGAGATCAACTTTGTTTTTTAGCTTACATTCGTGTGTGAGAAKTCATAGCTACAAAAGCGTAAACATTCCTGTTCCCAACTCGTTGATTTTAAAGAACGTTGTTACATATATAACTTCTGTGTAGTCTAAATATTGTCAGAAGTTCTCAAGAGTTTTTTTCGACCAGACAAACACTATTATAAKCTTACTGTACATGACAGCTCGTCTGAGTCAGTTGAACGCAGACAGAAATGTGAAATGTATAAAATAATGCATCAATTTTTATATAATCTTCATTATAAAATAAAACTTAGAATATGGATGAATGAAACTTACTGAAGTTCTTTCGCAAGGACACAAAAGTAACTTRAAATAATCTTGAAATACTATATTATAACCTTGTTACCAGACTCTCCCAGCACTCTTTAGATTGAATGTTGTTTTGGCATCGATCTCACAACAGACACAAGTCTTGTTTTAATAAACTTCACTGGTTCAAGTTGAAGAATTATTCCATTTAACTCTTCTTTTTGTTTGTCTTCAGAGATCACCYCTCCAAACCAAAAAYCCMAACATCATGGTCAGTAAACTAAGACCACCATCAGCCATCAAAAGGCCTTATGTCAAGGACACCAAAGAAGATGTTAGCACTGTAAGTACCCGCAATCTAGTTCCTATTTCCCAGGAAATGYATTTTACAGGAAAAGATTCTCATTATCAAAACATCGTTCTCTACAGTCAAAGGTAAAGGTTCCCAAATGTGACCTTTCTGTAACTTCAAAACCTCAAACAGTCCAAAGCTCATTGAGGAGACAGACYTCTAGTGCAGTTGTAAGGAGGGCTACTACTACCAAGACTGACATGCCGCCTCCTTCATCAGCACCAAGAACAACATTGAGGCGACAAACATCAGCAACTCAAGTCAAGAAACCCCCAGTGGGTTCGGCAAGTTCAAGAGTTGCTATCTCCAAAACAAAAACTACTGCAGCCAGTTCAAGAACAACAGCTGCACCAAAGGCTAACCAAGCAGGTATGTTAGTTAGACTGAAGCAAGATGGCCAGTCTGCACTTTTCATTTAAACTAAATTAAGATAATTTAGTAGTAAAGAAAGATTTTTTTATAGAAAAAAAGGATGAATATATTGTCACTCTTCTAATATGTTATTATTTCTTTTGTCTCCTTTCTTACTGTCCTTCCTTCCAGTTTTTCCCACCATTTTGTTTTCCCACCCCTCCTCTGACTCCCTTCCTCTTTCCATCTCTTCCTCTCTCTCCCTTCCTTCCTTCCTGCCCTCCTCTCATCTTCTTCATTCTCTCCTTTGTTTCTTCCATTTCTTATGACAAAAACTAACTTTATTCAGTTACTAACAACATCAAAATTTAAATATCGCAATCATCAGCAAGCAAGAGAGCTAAGTGGGATTACAAGGGACGKCTTGAAGACATGGARAAACAGATAGCAAACAACGAACACTTCATGAACACCATGAATCAGAGCATGAACAGCAATAAAGAAMGGCTAGAGTACTTGGAGTCAGTCAAGAAGGAGTTGGAAAAGTCAAATGAAGCAAAAAGTCARCGAAATGAAGAAGTAAWAATTTCCTTGAAATTGAATGCACTTTTTTTATTAGTTTAGAGTAATATTATTCAGTTACAGACAATAATTTATCAAAAGAGATTGTTTGAAACTACTGTAGCCTCCTTTGCMGACGACTCTGCATATGGGATTCCTGTGTTAAGTCAAAAAAATCAGCTAGATTGGGAGTGATTACAAAAGGAAGGAAAAGCAGGTGCTGTTCTTCTCAGTCAAGACTATATATAGCTGTTTCAAAAAAGGTTGTCTGATAAAATGGCGAMTGTCAATTGTCGAACGGCGATTGCACGACCGAAAGTAGCCATGGGWTTTGCTAGTTGAAATGCAATAASAACTGATTTGTACTGTAAGATGGTCTGTTGTAAACATTGGCTCCATTTAGTCTCCATTCTATGCAAAGTGAATCCAATAAGTGAAATTTTGTTTATCAAAACAGTGTAACCATTGTCCCTTTCGGTCGTGCAATTTCCCTTCGACAATCGCCGTTCGCCGTTCGCCGTTCTCCCCGACAACGTTTTTTGAAATAGCTGTATACAGGAAGTTTACATTAAACTGGAGAACCTTGCAAAGGAGGATAGATTAGAACCTTRTTTCTATGCTCAACCTATGAMCCCAAGGGCTAAATMAGTTGGTYGYATTGTGYTCAGTGTAGGGACTCCTTTTCCAAACAAACCGCACGTTGGGTCCTAACAAAYTTCAATCAACAGCTCTATCCATAGAAACAGCCGCAAATGTTCCAATAATTTCTGTCTACAAAGTTACATGCAATTGCATATTATTWTTTTRYTWATTGCATTGTCTGTGTTGTAATCKTTTCCAGAGTTCTGCAAAGATTTTCGACCTTGAATCCCTAAATAGAAGTCTACATGAAGAGATCAACTCACTGAAACAAAAGTATGATTTTGAATTAGAAGTAAAAGAGAATAAGAACAAGAATATYGAAAAAGAACTTAAACAGGTTAGAGAAGTTTATAAATAAGAATAAAATGTTATTAATTATAAATGTTGTCATCATCATCATCAATAGTAATAGCTATTATTAATGATTATCTCTTGTAGGTAGAGGCAGATCTCGTAATATCTCGTGAAGAAACCAACGCTCTCAGGTCAACCATTGCCCAGATAACTGCTCAATCGTACGGCATAAGAACTGAACTAGAGGCGACAAAGGTTGGTGGACCTCATGCATTGATAAAAAGAAACTATTTCTACATTTATCTTGAAATGAAAAATGAAAGCGCATCTACCTTAGAAACACTACAGCGACACAGCGACATAACACTGCATAGCGAGCAGTCATTGTTATATTTTTGTTTAGCCAGCGTTTAAGTCATCTGTAAATATCTAGYGTGCCAAGTTGTCGAATTTTCTCGCAAACTACAATGTTTCTGAGGAAGCCCGACCAAAGAATAGGCTGTGGAGGAGACCAGTAGAGCATTAACAGASCAATATTTCTTTCCCTTTTAGCTTAATCTTCAAAATACAACGTCACTTTGTGAACAAAAAGACCAAAAGATCAGTGAACTATCTCAAACAATCCWAGAATTACAGCAACTTGTAAACGAAAAAGATGGAAAGCTTCGTGAAGAGGAGACGCAACGTCGGAGTCTTCACAATACGATACAAGAACTTAAGGGAAACATCCGWGTATTCTGCCGACTTCGGCCGCCAGTTAATGCTGAAAAGGATTGCACACTAGCCAAATTCTCTCTGAGTCACGATCAACGTASTGTCATCGTTGAACAATCAATACCATCTGAGGTAAATGTTAGTTAGAAAGGTTGTGTATGTTTTTTCACGCCATAAAAAAAAATCATTTTCAAGTGTACACTGTTGTCCAATTCTTTCTTTCTATATTTGTTTCATTCATTTAGTATTTTTAATTTTGCTGATCATTATTCATCATTATCTTCTAGGACGTTAAAGGAACCAAAAAAGCAAYTGTTCCRTACGAGTTTAGCTTCGATAAAATATTTGACCCGTCTATGGGACAAGAAAATATTTTTGAAGAAATCTCACAGCTTGTTCAATCGGCACTCGACGGATACAGGGTATGCATATTCGCATATGGTCAAACAGGTACGTGCAAAAAATGGCGTCGATGGAAATGAGCTAAACGCATGACAAATATAAAATATATTGTAACTTTAAAAAATGTTTGAACTTTAGGGAGTGGGAAAACCTATACDATGGAGGGAGACGCGTGTGAATACACCAAGCGAGGAATGATACCAAGATCACTGGAACACGTTTTTAAGATCTCAAAAGATTTGAAAGAGAAAGGATGGGAAGTGAGTAAGAATAAATAGCAAAAAAAGGGAATAAAAGTAAATGCAAATTATTATTTCTTTTAAAATGCGTTACTTGTTTGTTATTTGTAAAATTAGGCTCAAGGACGAAAAATCTTTGCTTTTCTTGCCTTGTTTGCTTCGTATGGTTTTAGGGCCGGTTTACACTATGGCATAAGCAGAAACCGAAGCAGAAGCTTGTTCACTTGACAGAAGCATGTTCTTCTGCTTATGATGTCCCGGTTCACACTCATAATCTTTCAACATAAGCAGAAACAGAAGCAGAAGAAAATGAAAAAGTTTTCATCTGCTTCTGTCTATGCTTCTGTTTTCCCGGTTCACACATACAAAAAGTACACTTCTTCTGTTTCTGCTTATGTCAAAGTGTAAAACGGTCCTTACTTGCCTTTTATGCTTGTGTTTAAATGAAGTATCAAAAGCTATAATAGCGTAAACTATAAGTCCGTTTTCTTTTTTCAGTATAAGATGGAAGCAAGTTTCTTGGAAATCTATAACGAGAACATACGAGATCTGCTGGCCTCTGACGACTCACTCAAATACGAGATAAAGATGGTGGGAAATGGAAAGACGAACTCTGACTCTGAAGTGACCGTCACGAACCTCAAAGTTATACCAGTTGACAACGAAAAACAGGTCTATTTGCAGTCATTTCTATAAATCTGGGACTGAATTCCAACGGTCTAAGACATAAGACTAAGAGATTAACGCAAATTTCTTTTTTCAAAGGTTTTKTCGCTTCTGAAAACTGCCGCACAAAATCGCTCTGTTGGCGCAACCAAATGTAACGAAAGATCCAGTAGAAGCCACAGTGTCTTTATTTTAAAAATAAGCGGAGAGAACACAATCACAGACGAGAAATGCCAAGGTAGGAATAACATTTATGTCTAGCATGCTCGTTAGGTAGCAAATTCATTTTTGCGCAACTCATTTTTACTTTTGTTTACGCAGGGACATTAAATCTTATAGACCTTGCGGGATCAGAGAGACTAAGTCAGTCAGGAGCCGAGGGGAAACGACTCAAAGAAACTAAAAATATCAACTCTAGCTTGAGTAACCTCTCTAACGTGATTATGGCTTTGGCGAACAAGGTAAAAGACGCTTAGTTTGCTATTTCCTTTCTTCCTCCCTCTCCTTCTACCTTCCTCCTGTCCTTCCTAATCCTTCCCTCCCTTTTTTCCTTCCTTCCGTCCTTCCTTCCTTTTTGCTTGTAAGCTAAAGGTCTTTTTCTTTTTTTATTAACTTTTTGTTTTGTTTGCTGTTTTTCAGGAGTCTCATATTCCTTACCGCAATAGTAAACTCACTTACCTGCTCAAAAACTCTTTAGGAGGAAATAGCAAAAGGTACAACACTTGTTCAAAAGTACTTTATCTATTTTTATAGTGTTAATCTTGATTTTTACGATAATGTAAAATGAATGCATGTTTTCTTCTATAGTCTAATGTTCGTCAACGTTTCTCCAAGAGAAGATTCATTTCAAGAAACGCTATGTTCATTGCGTTTTGCCACCAAAGTAAGTTTTTGTTTTCTTCTTGACTTCGTGCTTCTCCGCTTCGTTGTTTTTGTTTTGTTGTCGCCTTCTTCTTCGACTTCGTGTCTTCGTGCTCCCGTCTTCTCAGTCTTTCTGCGTTGTGATGCTTAATTAGTCGTTCTTCTTCTCAGTCTTCTCCTTAAACTGTTTTCTTCTTTTAGTTCTATAGCTTTTGTTCTTCTTCTTTGCTATTCGTGCTGTCGCACTATTTCTTATAACGAAATGTTTCACGTTTTTCAGGTGAACCAATGCAACATTGGWACTGCGCAAAAGAAAGTCGTCAAATAGATTATAAAACAAGTTTGAAATCTTTTGTAAATAGCACCATTAAGAATAATTCATTTTTAAATTTTTAATTWWGCTGTATTGTAAAGTATGTATCGGGTTACAGGTTAATGACATAAATATTAAGCAGAGTCATGAAAAATATGGTTCGGCCTAAGGCCTACATGTCCCACAGCCTGTGCGCGCTGTCAAACACAGCCCTCCTGCCAAGGTTGACAGCCTTAGTTAGACGTGACGGCCTTCTACATGTACCTCATAAAACTTGTCCACGAGCAGGATCCCAATGTATCTTGATCCACTCCAGCACAATGTTTCACTTCGGAGGAAAAACAACTTTGTGAAAAAATAAACAACTTTTGAAACAACAGTCACATAAAACCTGCGTGCAAGACCTGATAAACTGCTTGTAAATCGATTGTGAATATAGAAGATATAACGATACATTGTAAGATGTTACTTGAGTTAATAAGAAAGTCTGGTATCATATTGATTCCACGCTCTTTCAACTTTTTATAAAAAGATTTTATWAACCATATTTAGCGCAAGACATGCCTACAGTAATAAACTCAAAGTGCTCAATCTAGTCTCCATTGAATGATTGAATGTGTTAAAATAGCTAGTGCTGTTGGCAAATTATAAAGTCTAGTAAGTGGGAACTAGCTGGGTTCTGATGTGACGGCTTCAACGCCAGAGTAAAAATTAACTAGCTTTCACATTATGGCCACCGAAAAAAGTAAAATGAAGGAACATATTTATACGAATGATAAAAGAAAATAACTTTTTTTCAAAAACAGGAAGACGGCAAATCTGTAAGTCCATGTGTGCGAACTGTCTAAGTGCGCGCGCGGTTAAATACCGATAGGGACTGGGCCAACATTCCCATGACTCATCGCGCGCGTTCTAAACCACGAGTCGACGCCATTTTGGACAAAAACTTCAATGGCGTCACTTCTTTGCCAATAATTTTCACCCACAAAACGTCTATCTAAACTAGCAAATTAAAGACAGAACCATGACTCAATATCTGCCGTCAAACTTACTGGCTTTGTTCGCCCCAAGAGATCCTTTGCCGTTTTTACCGCCATTGGATAAGCCAACATGGCTGCGTAGAAAACCTTGGTCGTACAACGGAGTGTCAACGTATTTACATGTTTTTGAGGTACGTTTTGTTCCTTTCCTTGTTTGAAATCATTTGTTAGCATCTTAAAATGTTGGTTTGAATGTATTCTTTGCATAAGAAAAAGCATGCGAAGATTTAGGGTAAACATTTGAATCAAAATCACTGAAATATCACTCGAGTAGCATTGTGCATGGCCATCAGGTTTGAACACGCTTCGAATATTTTCTAGTTGTCACATTAATAACTAGGGTTTGTGTAAAATTCTTGGCCATAGCTCTCATAAGGTCGTTATAATTGTATTTTAATACTATATTTTAACGATTTATCGCTATCATGATTTTCCAGGATCCCAAAGACACCCCGCCACCCACAAGAGCTGAAACAAGAGAAGAAAAACTTGAAAGAAAGGTATAGAAGTAGAGCTAAGTGTGGACTGTATACTGACTTATAGCTAGTAATAATTACTACTAATTAGCATGAGTTAGATTCAAATCTGAAGATGTTACATGCTATGGACAGGGCTCAAAATAAGGGGAGGTCAAAGGACAATGTCCTTCCAAATTTGCTAAATGTCCTGTCAAATCGGAATCCGAAAAGACATATTTACCAGCCCTTTTCTTTAAAAATTAATCATGACCTTCCAAAAAAGTGTTTGGAACAACATTRTGTCCTGTGTAGGTCCAAACATTATTTCGAGCCTTGATGGATAAGATTGAAACTAGCTGTATAAAACTAGTGTGAGCTGCGTCAGTGTTTCTGCTTGCTTCAGCCAATCAGAATTCAATAATTTACACTAGTCTAGTAAAGTGTTCATGAGATTGTGCTTTGTCTTATTTCAGAAAAGAGAAAAGGACGAAAGGATTACAAGAATGCTTGAAGAAAAACTGAAAGAATGTAAGCATCGTACCTTGAATAAATTCAATGACTAATGATTTTTTTGTGATTTTTTTTTATTCCAGGAAAAATTTATTTACAAATAATGCTCATAATAATGATACAGCCTTTTGCAAAAATTATGAGAATTGTTGAAATATCTAAATATCATAATATCGAGTGCATGATGGGTAATCCCGCGCGATGCCCTTAGTCCCTTGTCTTTGTAGTTTAGT